CTCATACCACTTACGCTAAAACATAATAATATCCTGCAAATACCGTACCCGACCACGTTGTAGCAGAGGCACAGAAAAGGACCCTCCTCTCTCTCTCTGTCTCTCTCTCTCTCTATCTCTTTCTCTGCAATTCCAGCCCTGCTAGTAATCTGATCTCCATCTTTCTCTCTCTAGAATCCCCATCTCTCTCTAGAATCTCCATCTCGCTCAACCCCTCAGAAAAGAAACCCTCTGTGTGTGTGTGCAGCGATGTTGGAAGAAGGGATCTGGGCATCAATGCATGGGTGGCTAACGCCCATGGTGCTTTTCCTCCTCCTCAACCTGGTCATAGGAACCATAGCCGTGAGCTCAAGCCTCGCCCAAAAGGACCACAACAACAAGAAGCTCGAGCGCCGTTCCTCCGTCTTGGAGCGCCTCAAATCCATCAATCTCTACAGGCAACGAACGGCTGAGGTCGCCCATCTCACTGAAACCTTCGCCTTCAATGAGCCTCTTATTGAAGAGAGAGAAACAGAGCCCCCGCTCCTAGAGAGAGAAAGGGTTCTTGTTGCAGAGAGAAAACGGGAGACGTTTGTAGAGAGAGAAAGGGAGCCTCTTGTGGAGAGAGAAAGGGTGACATTTGTAGAGAGAGAGAGCGAGGCTCATGACACGGAAGATGAGGAGCATCACTTCGTGAGGAGTAAAACAGAGACCCAGGTAAAGGGGAAAGAGCCGCCATTGAAGAGAAAGATGAAGAAATCCATGAGTGTGAAATCTACATCTGCGAGCTTCGAAGGTCCAGCAATCGTGGCGAGGCCTGCATCTGTTAGGGTTAAGTCGACCACTGCTGAAGAGGGTTCAGATGAGGTCGATGCGAAGGCCGATGATTTCATTAATAAGTTTAAGCAGCAGCTCAAGTTGCAGAGGCTGGAGTCGCTCGTCAGGTACAAGGAGATGATCAACAGAGGAAAGTAAGAGAGAGAAAGTTAGACCCAAGATTTTCTCTCTCTAACCATGGATAGTATCCATTTCCCTTGCTTTACTGTGCTTTTACCTGTTGTAGGATGCTTCTTTTCTTTTCCCTAAAACTTAGTAATCACTGTGGAATTACTGATCTGTGCTCACTGCTTTGAAATATATGGGGCTCTGCTACCCCTTTCTATCACTCTTTTTTTTGTATTTTTACTTAAAAAATTTTCTTTTTTTGTTGGATATCACTGGTGTGTAAATCGGATTTAGATGTTTGAAATATTTTGAGCGTCAGTCATGTGTAAATCTCTCTCTCTCTAAGCTGTTAACTGAACGGAAATGGTGTTTTGGTTTTCTCTCTCTAAAAGCTGTTCACTGAAAGGAAATGGGGTTTTGGTTTTCTCCCTCTAAACGCTATTTACCGAAAGGAAATGGGGTTTTGTTTGGAATTCCAGTTTTTAAATCCATGAATGGGTAACAGTTTCTCACTCTACGATGGCATGTAAAGCTCTCTTTCTCTCTCTACTGGTGAGTGAGCTACAATTTCGATTCATTTCTCTCTCTACTGCTTCTTTAACGGAAGTTGGATCGTTCATCCGCTATTATTAATAACAGTCGATGACGCATTGAATGGTTAGTGGCCACATGGCTCCAGATACTTTTTAGTCCAAACAAATATTTTCCTTTTCATTTTTAATCCCTGCAAATGCATCTCTTGAAATTTATAGGCCACAGAAGAGACCATCCTGTCTTTTTTTTGTTTTTAAGAAAAAAAATATTTAGAGGCAAAAATTACAAAAAAAAATATCGATTAACTTATTTATTTCTTATTTTTTATTTTTGCACAAACAAGATCGGCCACAGAAATTATTTTTTATTTTTTCTAAAATTGTCTTTGGGTCTAAGGAACCTCAAACTGAATTTTAATTTTAATTTTTTTAGATTTTTGTTAGCTTTAATTTTAATTTTAGTTTCCCATTAGAAAAAAAAAATCAATATTAAAATTAGGTTTAAGAATGGACTGCTCGGATTAGGAGGTAATTTTGGAATAAAAAATGTGCGCTGGACCGACTTTTTTTGTATTTTTTTTTGGGTGAGTATGTGGGGAGAGGGCATCTCGGTAAGAATTTAGTCCAGGACATGGCATTGCACATAGTCAAGCGCTAACCAATAAGCCTAGACTCTTTTTGTGTGAAATTGTTCAGGAAGAGGACTCGAATTTAAGACCTAATTTCTTTGTAATTTTTATGTATATCCTGAAAAATTATTGCAGACTTAATTTTATTGTAATTATTACCTATAAAGTGAAAAATTATTGAGGACATTTTGTATTTTAGAAAAAATTTCAAGGTCCGAACATAAATCACTATTTTATTTATTTGAAGCCAAGTGGTCAAGTTTCTTCATGTGATGCACCGTTACATTTTGGCTTAATTAATTATTATTTTTCCGTTAATGGATATGTAATATGGCAAACTAGTGATAGTTATTCGACTATTAGGCATCTTTTTTGAAAAGAGCCCTAGCTTCTTATCGTAAGCCATGTTGGAGTATAACGTAATTTTCTCATATTCCTTGCTTCCATGGAAACTAACGAAACAAATAGCTACTCTTTTATTTTTTCACGTAAAAGTGTTATTATGCAAAGCTGACTAAGGGGTGCTATCGTACAGTTTTGCTTATGGTTCTATCGTACCGTTTGGCTTATGGAAGGGAGTAAAGGGGTTGGATCGTCGTAGGTACATATCATGGTCACATCCCCGCACTTAATTACCATATTGGGATAATCATTTTTATTAATGGTGGTAGGATCCCCATACTAAGTTACATTTGGTGATAATACTTAGTTACATTTGGTGAGAGTGTCTGTACACCTAGTTACTACATTTGTGGTATCTATTTTTACTGTTGACGCTCTTCATTAACACTTTCAAAATGTAATTCTTTGATTTATTGGACAAAAGATAGGGTCTTCCCCCACTGAATTATTACCCCCTAATGGTGCTATCGTACCTTCAAAATGTAATTCTCTAGTCTATTGAAAAAAGGCTTGGGTCTTTTCCATTTAATTAATCTATCGAAAAATGGGTAGGGTCTTTCTCACTGAATTACCCTAATGGTGCTATCGTACAGCTTAGCTCTTTTTTTGTGTGAAAGTATCTTCTTGTGCGAGAACATTGGTACCTTTTTTAAAAAAAATTTTGGGGATATTTATTCAAATAATTGTAAATATGAATTATTTAATTATTCATATCTTTTGATTTAATTTTTCTAAAAAACATACAAAAAAACCATTTATTTTCGATATGAGGAGGTCACACTCTTGTCTAACATATTTTAAATAGAGTAGTTATGAGGGTCTAGTTAACAAAGTTCAATAAAAACTATATCAAACTTTTTAACATATCCCAAACCAATCCAATTGAACGTCTAATGGCAATTATAACTTTTTTTTTTGGTGACAAACAAAAAAGGTATCATAGTATACAACCCCTTTGAAAATACCAATCAGAAGTACCTAGCCATGACAAGGAATAGTTGTAAAAAGGTCAGCGCGAAGTGCTCCATCTCTTGTGGGTAATCTGACCATTCTTTTTTATTTTTCTTTTTTTGTCTCTTTCCGTGATGCTCGGCATAAGATTGATATAGACTGTCCAATTTTTTGATATAGACTGTCCAATTTTTGGGTAGTCAGACCTAGAAGTTTAGAAGTTATATATAGGGAAAAGTTTATATAGAGCCGAGGCTTTAAACAATTAAATTTGAGCCCATATCAAAAATTTCACTAGAAGATGTTGTTTTGATGTCCAAATATCCTCAAATTGACCATCTCAGCATAAAGATACATGGACATGAAAAAAACATGGATTTCAAGTTTTGGAAATAATATATTTGTAACGCTTTTTTCGATCGTCAAATTTCAACATTTTCAAGTTTTCATAAATCGGTTAATCAACATTATTTTTGAAGCTTTAAACTTTATAAATAAGATAAAATATATTTTAAGGCTATCACAAAGATTTCCAGTAATAAAACCACATTTCTCGACACTATTTGAAGGTAGGCTCTAATTTGATTGTTTGGAGCCTAGGTTCTATACAAACCTAGGCTCTAAACATACAAAGTTTATAGTTCATCTAGAGTTAACAACTCCTAAAAATACAAAGTTCAATGTTAGAAGGGGTTGTGATAGGTGTATTTATAAAAAATATCATTGCTTTTTGTTTAAAGATTTATTTTAATAGATAACTTAACCATTAAGTAAAGATAAATTTGAAATTTTTATAAAAGTACAATGACATTTTGAAAGTTAGTGTCTTCGAACTTTATTTGTAGAGTGCCCTTGTCTTTTAGTAAAATTTTCAACTTAATGGAGTTAACAAAAGTACTAATTGTCTTATAGTGATATTTACACAAAGGAAAAACGTTATATAGAGTCAAGGCTCTAAACAATCAAATTAGAGCCCACCACAAAACTTTCACTAGAAGAGGTTGTATTGATGTCCAAATATCCTCAAATTGATCATCTTGACATCAAGATGTATGGACAAGAAAAAAAAAAAATAGATTTCAAGTTTTAAAGATAGTACCTCTTGTGACGTATTTTTGGACTGTCAAGTTTCAAGATTTTCAAGCCCTCATAGATCTGCTAGATTTAAACTATTTTTGAAGCTTTAAATTTTATAATTAAAGATGAATTTATATTTTAAGACTGTCACACAGATTTCCAATATTGAAACATTATTTCTCGACACTATTTGAAGGTGGGCTCTAATTTGATTGTTTAGAGCTTCGGCTCTATGCAAACTGCACCCTTACAAAAATATC